TCAATCTAAAGGGGGCGAATCAAAGAATGAGACGCTAAGCTGGGAACGCCCATTTTGTTAATCTTACAATCGATTTAAATCTCGAGTTATTTTGATGTAGCTTATTATGATTTTCGAGTATTCCTGTTGATTGTTGTTAATTTTGATCGCGTTATCGACGGAGGCAGGTTAATTGCTCTAAGCGTTTTGTTCATGAGTTACGAAACGTTTTAAGTAAATTGCATTGTCATTTCAGTTTACGATCGTAATCGTGATTGTCTATCGTGGTTCGCTAATCGTTCATCATCATTAAATCACCGTTAACCGTCAACCTTGGTTTTCCGTGGTTATTGATACTTGAAGCACACGACCTGTAAGATAGTCCCGTAGCATTAACACGCTTTAGCGACACCCTTCGACTTCGATCTCGTTTGTCGCAAGCGTCACAGTAAAATATCGTCACTTCATTTCGCCAATTGGTTATGAACCGTAATTGATCATCGCTTCAATCTTTGGTCTTCTTTGGTACTTGTCTCGAGGCCAAAAAATGAGTGTCGTCAGTGCGCCGGCATCTGTTCGTAACAAAACACCATCAGAACTGGACTTTGGGGCGACGCCTAAAACAGTCAAGCCATCCCAGGGTGTGGCGGGCGTCGAGCCTTCCCCACTCGAAACCTCGAAAACTATCGGACGAAGACGAATAATGAGCGAAAAGGGTTTAGCTTATCAATTGGAAACAAAACTTGCAAATCGGAGCGCTGCCTTTAGGAAATTAATGCAACAGATTGACACGATTAACTTGCTACGTGACGCACCACAATCAACAATAGAACAATGAGGAAGGGAGATTTAAATTAGACCATTTGAAAGATCAGTTAAACGATGCATTCAGGGAGCACGACGATTTATTGCAATTAGAGAAGGAAAAGGAGGATTCGTATCGGTGGTTCGACATTCAGGATCGTGAGTACAACGAATGCAGAATAAGACTTTGTGAACGAATACAAGCACTAGAGAGAAAATCCAGCCGCGCTAGTTCCGGCCTCCGAAAGTGGAACCCGCGTTCACACCACAATTTCAAGAGAATAGTGTAAATAAAACTCTTCAAGACATCATTAGTTTGCAAGCGAAGCAGGCAGAGTTGAGCTCGTTAGTCATCAATCAGCAGAAGATTAGCAACCTTCCAGTGAAAGAGCCACCAATCTTCTCTGGAGATTACTTTGAGTATCCAGCCTTTGTCACCGCATTCGACTCCATTATTTGTAGTAATGTGCCATCCAATAAAGATCGATTGTACTTCCTAGAGAAGTATACCACAGGCAAGGCTAACCAAGTAGTGAAAGGTTTCTTGGCCATGAACTCTGAAAGAGCTTATGAAAGGGCTCGAAATATGCTAGATCATCGCTTTGGTAATCCCGTTCATGTAGCTGAGGCCTACAAGACTAGCCTAAGAAGATGGCCGAAGATTGATGACGGAGATAGCCGTAGCCTTCAGAATTTTTCGGACTTTCTCGTACGATGCGAAGAAGCAATGAAAGCAATGCAGTCAATGGGGGACCTCGACTCAACAGAAAATCTCCGCCTAGTAAGCAGTAAGCTTCCTTCGTATGCTGCTGTAAAATGGTGTCGGCATGCCCACGAGACACAAACAAAGTATAAGAAGATAGTTAAATTTGGCGCCCTCGTTAATTTCGTCGGAGAAGAAGCAGAGCTTGCAAATGACCCCGTCTCCTCGCCAGATTCACTCAAGGCAGAACGGAAGAAGACTGGTACCCAGCCGAAGTGGGGATGGAGGAACAAATCGAAGAAGAATGATGATAGCAGTTGGAGCTCCAATTCTTTCGCGACATCAAGCACTCCGCCTGTTTCGTCACCAAAGCAACAAGCAGATCAAAGCGACCAGACGTGTCCTCTTTGCATCGGCCGCCACGCCCTCGTCAAGTGTGGTAAATTTCTGAACAAACCAGTTGACGAGCGCAGTGAATTCATTCGCACTAAAGGTCTTTGTTATGGCTGTTTTAAGTCAGGCCACGTTTCCTCTGGTTGTCGTAACAGATCTAATTGCAAAGAATGCGGAAGACGCCACCACACGTTATTGCACGGCGCAAAACCGAAATTCGCAGCTCATAGCCAGCCAGTTGACCGTAAGCCGCAAGAAACCTCCTTAGTAACTGTCGGCCAGGAATCATCAGTTGCTGAATCTGCGAGCTCGAACCTGATCAGTGTAACGCATAGCTTAGCGGCAGGATCCACAAATGTGATTACTGACTGTCGCATTATCCAGGTCATTTTGTTTCACAAGAACAATCCAGAGAAAACAGCTAAGGTCTACGCACTATTGGACGATGCAAGTGATACTACCTTCGTGACCACCCAAGTGCAGCATAAGCTGGGCATCAATGGTGTTCAAACTAGTTTGGATTTAAGTACCATGCTTGGCCGTCAATGGATAGCAGTTGAAAGAATTGATGGCTTGGTTGTTGAGCGTCATGACAAACGCACCGAGGTTGAGTTACCTAAGACTTATGCAAGGCAAACTATTCCTTCTCGTCGAGATCAAATTCCAAGACCAGAGACCGTAAACAGCTGGCGACACCTTAAAAGGATTCAAGGCAGAATTCCACCGTACGATGACGATGTAGCTATTGGCTTGTTAATCGGTTGCAACTGCCCCAGGGCGATCAAACCAGTTGAAGTAATACGCGGTAAAGGCGAAGAACCTTATGCCGTTCGAACCTTGCTGGGCTGGAGTATCGTGGGACCAGTCGCCGCCTCGGACACCTCCCAAGATGGCCACGCCCTAGACTCCACTTGTCACCGTGTCATGTCCAGAGAGGTTATTTCTGGACCAAGTGACAGCGCCAACCAACTGAGTTTCGTTTTCCATGGTAAAACAAAGGAGGTTGTCAATCCATTAGCACTCAACCAAATGTTCGAGCTCGATTTCGTGGAACACAAAACCAGATCGAAGCGAAGTCTCTCCAAAGAAGACAGAAAATTCACTGAGATAGCAGACAAAGGAATTAAACATCTCAAAGATGGTCATTACGAGCTTCCACTGCCCTTGAAGAAAGCCACCATTGAGCCTTCAAACAACAAGACAGCAGCACTTCGTAGACTTAGTCAGCTGAAAAGAAGGTTTGAGGGTAAAGGCGGCCAGAAATACTACGCAGACTATGTGGAGTTTATGAAGAAACTGATAGAGAATGGATACGCAGAGAAGGTACCAGAGATGTCTGAGTCGGAGAATACATCCAGTGTTCAAATTAAGGAGAAGCGAAACGTTTGGTACATCCCTCACCACGGAGTCTACCACCCAAAGAAGCCGAACAAGATACGGGTAGTGTTCGACTGTGCGGCTGAATTCGAAAGTGAGTAACTAAACAAGCACCTACTTCAAGGCCCCGATCTGACGAACAATATGACCGGCGTCCTTTGCAGGTTTCGGCAGAAGCCGATCGCTTTCATGTGTGACATAGAGGCCATGTTTCACCAAGTGAAAGTGGACGAAGAATACCGGGATTTGTTACGTTTTCTCTGGTGGGAGAATGGCGACCTCACGAAATCACCGAGGGAATACAGAATGACTGTACATTTGTTTGGAGCCACCTCGTCACCAGGCTGCGCAAATTTTGCAATGAAGTCTACGGCGAACGACTTTGAGAATGAATTTGGAGCAAGCGCCGCAGATTTCCTTCGCAACGACTTTTACGTTGACGACGGCTTGAAGTCTGTTCCATTGGTCGACGACGCAGTAAAGCTGATTGTAAATGTGAAGAAGATGTGTAGCAGAGGAGGGTTCCGACTTCATAAGTTTGTATCAAATGGCAAAGAAGTCATCCGAAGAATCCCAGAGCAAGATAGAGCAGAGGGCGTGAAGGAGCTCGATTTGGACCTTGATTCGCTTCCTTTAGAGCGTGCCCTTGGAGTCCACTGGTGTGTCGAGTCTGACTGCTTCCAGTTTACCATTGTACTACCAGACAAGCCATGCACCAGACGAGGAATACTTTCTACTGTGAGCTCAATTTTCGATCCACTTGGATTCGTCGCCCCGCTCTTGTTAGATGGAAAGCCAATTCTTCAAGAGTTATGTCGCCATGAAATAGGCTGGGATGATCCCGTTCCAGACAACGTCAAAGCCAAGTGGGAAAAGTGGAGAGCAGACTTGTTAAAAATTCAACGCATCTCAATTCCGAGATGTTACAAGCCCAACAGCTTTGGTCGTGTAGTGAACGCACAACTCCATCATTTCTCGGACGCCAGCGTTAAAGGTTACGGCCAGTGCAGTTACTTGGGACTTGTTGATGAAACCCAGACAGTTCATTGTTCCTTCGTCATGGGCAAGTCCAGAGTAGCACCATTGAAGCCTGTCACCATACCACGCCTGGAGCTCACCGCCGCTGTATGCTCAGTAAGGATCAGCCAGCAATTGCGACAGGAGCTGGAGCTTACCATCGACCAAGAATACTTCTGGACAGATAGTAGAGTGGTTCTTGGATACATAGCAAATGAGAGTAGGCGTTTTCACGCGTTCGTTGCCAATAGAGTTCAAAAGATTCAGGAGAACACATGCATTGATCAATGGAAGTATATCGAATCCAAACAGAATCCTGCCGACGAAGCGTCCCGTGGTCTAAAAACACAAGAGCTGTTAAATTCCCGTTGGCTCAGCGCACCAGCATTTCTTTGGAAGAATGAAGCTCAGCGGCAAACCATTAGTGAAGAAGATCACCAACTCCAAGAAAGCGACCCCGAGGTCAAAAGGACTGTAGCCATGGCAACCACAACATCCGCGCAAGGGATCCTAATAGCTTCAGAGAAGCCGAGCCTTGTAGAAAGAGTCGAGTATTTCTCTGACTGGTATCGTGCAAGGCGAGCAGTTGCCCTGTGCCAACGCTACGTCCGAATTCTAAGAGATCTCGTGCTCAAGAATCACAAGAAACAGTGCATACACGAGAAAAAACAAGTACTAGACGTCAGTAATTTGAAGAACGCAGAGTATGCCATTATTCGAGATGTTCAGATTAAAGCCTTTAAAGAAGAAATAGTGGTTTTACAGAAGATGAAGCAGGAAAACACCACCCTGAGAACACCACCACAGAGAAAGTTAACCATGAAAATGAGCAGCTCGCTCTACAAACTTGACCCATTTTTAGATGTCGACGGAATTCTACGTGTCGGTGGACGAGCTTGAAAGGAGACGTAAAATTTCCCATCATCCTGCCACGAAACAGCCACGTCACCAAGTTGATTACATGGAATTTCTGGCGTTTGAGTGCCAACGAATAAGCCGGAAATTAAATTTCTCTGCGGCACGAGAGCAACAGGACAAGGGCCTGGGCCCTTGAGTATAGATGCATTATGGGTATAGTGATACGAATATTAAATCAAACAACAACAAACATATGAAACATATGTGTGAACTGCGAAGGATCGTTCTCATATACGTCTCGTAACCGCAGTTCACACATATGTTTCATATGTTTGTTGTTGTTTGATTTATCATCTACGGGTTTATATCGAATTAATTTGATGGCCTGCTCCCAGTTGGCTTGTTAGCTCAATTGGTAGAGCGCTGCACTAGTATCGCAGAGGTCAGTGGTTCGAATCCCGTACAGGCCTGAAATTTTTTTCAGGTCTGATTTTCACTATTGCTCAAATAGTGCTTTACTGCGAAGGATCGTTCTCATATACGTCTCATAACCGCAGTTCACACATATGTTTCATATGTTTGTTGTTGTTTGATTTATCATCTACGGGTTTATATCGAATTAATTTGATGGCCTGCTCCCAGTTGGCTTGTTAGCTCAATTGGTAGAGCGCTGCACTAGTATCGCAGAGGTCAGTGGTTCGAATCCCGTACAGGCCTGAAATTTTTTTCAGGTCTGATTTTCACTATTGCTCAAATAGTGCTTTACTGCGAAGGATCGTTCTCATATACGTCTCATAACCGCAGTTCACACATATGTTTCATATGTTTGTTGTTGTTTGATTTATCATCTACGGGTTTATATCGAATTAATTTGATGGCCTGCTCCCAGTTGGCTTGTTAGCTCAATTGGTAGAGCGCTGCACTAGTATCGCAGAGGTCAGTGGTTCGAATCCCGTACAGGCCTGAAATTTTTTTCAGGTCTGATTTTCACTATTGCTCAAATAGTGCTTTACTGCGAAGGATCGTTCTCATATACGTCTCATAACCGCAGTTCACACATATGTTTCATATGTTTGTTGTTGTTTGATTTATCATCTACGGGTTTATATCGAATTAATTTGATGGCCTGCTCCCAGTTGGCTTGTTAGCTCAATTGGTAGAGCGCTGCACTAGTATCGCAGAGGTCAGTGGTTCGAATCCCGTACAGGCCTGAAATTTTTTTCAGGTCTGATTTTCACTATTGCTCAAATAGTGCTTTACTGCGAAGGATCGTTCTCATATACGTCTCATAACCGCAGTTCACACATATGTTTCATATGTTTGTTGTTGTTTGATTTATCATCTACGGGTTTATATCGAATTAATTTGATGGCCTGCTCCCAGTTGGCTTGTTAGCTCAATTGGTAGAGCGCTGCACTAGTATCGCAGAGGTCAGTGGTTCGAATCCCGTACAGGCCTGAAATTTTTTTCAGGTCTGATTTTCACTATTGCTCAAATAGTGCTTTACTGCGAAGGATCGTTCTCATATACGTCTCATAACCGCAGTTCACACATATGTTTCATATGTTTGTTGTTGTTTGATTTATCATCTACGGGTTTATATCGAATTAATTTGATGGCCTGCTCCCAGTTGGCTTGTTAGCTCAATTGGTAGAGCGCTGCACTAGTATCGCAGAGGTCAGTGGTTCGAATCCCGTACAGGCCTGAAATTTTTTTCAGGTCTGATTTTCACTATTGCTCAAATAGTGCTTTACTGCGAAGGATCGTTCTCATATACGTCTCATAACCGCAGTTCACACATATGTTTCATATGTTTGTTGTTGTTTGATTTAATATTCGTATCACTATACCCATAATGCATCTATACTCAAGGGCCCAGGCCCTTGTCCTGTTGCTCTCGTGCCGCAGAGAAATTTAATTTCCGGCTTATTCGTTGGCACTCAAACGCCAGAAATTCCATGTAATCAACTTGGTGACGTGGCTGTTTCGTGGCAGGATGATGGGAAATTTTACGTCTCCTTTCAAGCTCGCATGTCTGAGGCGTCCACCGACACGTAGAATTCCGTCGACATCTAAAAATGGGTCAAGTTTGTAGAGCGAGCTGCTCATTTTCATGGTTAACTTTCTCTGTGGTGGTGTTCTCAGGGTGGTGTTTTCCTGCTTCATCTTCTGTAAAACCACTATTTCNTTTTTTTCGCTTAACGAAATAAGCTTATTTTTTGGAGTATTTCTCTGCAAAAATTTCTTAATTTGCTCAAATCTTTAATTTTCTGTGCCCAGTCAAAATACGGAAAATCGGCCGCCATCTTGCCCCACGACCGAGTTTAAAGAGGAATGGCTCTAGCGGGTAATGTGACGTCAAATCGAGAACACGAAAGTCTGCATTTCACACATTTTCACATGTTTGGGAAGGTTGTAGTCGATGTTGTCCGAAAATATGCCGACTAAGTGTGTTGTAGAAGGATGTAGCAACGCGCGAAATTTGCAAGAGGGTATCGCGCTTCGTACATTCCTCATACAACACACCTAGTCGGCATATTTCGGACAATATCGACGACAACCTTCCCAAACAAGTGAAAATGTGTGAAATGCAGACTTTCGTGTTCTCGATTTGACGTCACATTACCCGCTAGAGCCATTCCTCTTTAAACTCGGCCGTGGGGCAAGATGGCGGCCGATTTTCCGTATTTTGAGTGGGCACAGAAAATTAAAGATTTGAGCAAATTAAGAAATTTTTGCAGAGAAATACTCCAAAAAATAAGCTTATTTCGTTAAGCGAAAAAAATTTGTGGGTATAGGTGCACTTTAAAGAAGCCAGGAAGGAGCTAAAGCGATATGGCGTGCTCTTTACCTACATAACGTCAAGAGCTGTCCATATCGAAACTGCCAACTCCCTTGAAACCGACTCCTTCCTAAACCCTTTGAGAAGATTCATCAGTCGTCGAGGCCCTATCCGCCAGCTTAGAAGCGATCAGGGAACAAACTTCGTAGGAGCTCGTACAGAACTCGCCCAGTCATTAGCCGACATGGACCAAGAGAAGATTAAAACAGTTACTCGAAGAGCAGTGTGATTGGTTTACTTCCAAGATGAACGTCCCAGCAGCGAGCCACATGGGAGGCGTTTGGGAGCGCCAAATCAGATCAGTACGTAACGTCCTCTCATGATTATTACAAAACAATGGAAGTCAGTTAGACGACGAATCTCTGCGGACCCTTATGTGCGAAGCAGAAGCTATAGTCAATAGCCGCCCTTTGACGATTATTCAGCTTACCGATCCAGATTCGACCGGTCCTCTTACGCCTAACCATCTCTTGACAATGAAGTCAAAGGTAGTTCTTGCTCCACCCGGTGCCTTTCAGCCAGCAGACGTGTATTGCAGGAAGCGTTAGAGGCGAGTCCAACAGTTGGCAAACGAATTCTGGACTCGATGGAGAAAGGAGTTCCTCCTTAGCTTACAGCAGCGCCAGAAGTGGACACGCCCTCGAAGAAACTTCACTGTTAATGATGTTGTCATAGTCAAATATGAAGGTCTCCCTCGCAGTGCCTGGCAGCTAGCAAAAGTGTCAGCAGTTTACCCTAGCTCAGATGGCCAAGTACGCAACGTTCAAGTAGCTCTTGCGGATAGCTGCTTGGACAACCAGGGCAAGAGGATCAGAACCGTGCGGTACCTGGAGAGATCAGTCCAAAAGCTAGTGTTGCTGTTGCCAGCCTCAAAGAATATTTGAAATCCGGGGTAATTCCTAGCCGAAGAGCCTCACTAAGAACGGAACCGGACTGTCAAGGAGAGCTTGTAGAACGTTAATAGATTAATTAATAGATTGATTAGTGAAATATGAATATTTCAGGGGAGCCATGTTAAGGATACTCAAACGATTCATTCAGTCTAAGTGGAATTTGACTTGTTTGTTACTAATTACTTTAGTTACGGATGTGGTTACGTTGTTGTCTATTCTCGATTGGTTTGTAATCAGATATTTTAGCGTCCCCACGCGCCTATAAAAGCCTCGTTTAGCGTCCCTTTAGCCAGTGTATAATTGTATTTCGCCTTGTCCATTCGATCTGTTCGACTTGCCGTTTTTGGTTCTTAACCTTTGGCACAAGCGGGACCGATATGTGAGTAATTTTGCTAGTTTCCTCCTTTGATTAGTTTTCTTGTTTTGGGTAGAAGCACGCTAACGTACAGAGTCGTACAATAGTACAATTTATTGTTTTCAATCTAAAGGGGGCGAATCAAAGAATGAGACGCTAAGCT